AATAAAATAATATATAACTTTCATTTTAATTTTCTTGTTCATTTATCATATTTTAATTATAAATTGAATTTTAATACCCTGAACCCATTGAAAATGGGAAATCAAAATGTATTTTATTTTTTATTTTTTTCTACAATTTCTCTAGTTTTTTTTCCCAATTGCTTGAGCGCCCCTCGCTTGTCTCAAGTGCAGCTCAGATGTTAAATGGCTGCCATCAAGCCAAAAGTTGAAGCCGTTCTCCAGATAAGTTTTATTAAATAACTGCTTGTCAAAGCAAGGCAGCACACACACACGCACACATATACACTCGCATACACACACACACTCATGAGGATACACATTGCCTTGAGTTGCCAACTTTTTGCGAAAAAGCGAAATTTGTTTTTAGCAGCACACAAAAAAAAAAAAAAAAAATAAAAAACTATCAAAAGCTTTCGCTGTTCACATGCATGTGTAAGTGTGTGCGTGCGTGTGTGTGTGTGAGCAGCTGCAATTTGTATGTTAACGCCTGTGAATTAGCCACCCACCTAGCAGCAGTSGAGGCGAGGCGAGGCCAGCGGCTAGATTAGCAAAAAGCTGAAATGAGTTTTGCAACTGAAAGAACAGAGTGGAAAAAGAGAAAGAGAAAGAGAAAGAAAATGGAAAATAAAAACAATTTCAATGAACTCCAAAATTAATTAAGCCAGGCAAAGGACAGTGGGTGTGTGGGTGCGTATGTATGCATGTGTGTGTGTGTGTGTGTGTCTATATCAGTTATTTTGCATAGCTGGAAGCGGAGCTGTGAAAGGCAGCAAGTAAAATTGCACTTGAGCTAAAGCGCAGCTGACGTTGCTGCCAGCAGCGCAGTGAGCGTCGCAGCCAGCGCAGACTGTGCAATCAGCGGCGCAACAACACAATTGTCGATTTGTGCCACAAGCTCCTGGCAAGCGGTTTGAATGGCCAACACTCACACCAGCTGAGCCAGCTGGCATTGTATTCAGGTGTAGCCCAGCGAGCCACCCACTCATACACACACGCACACACACACACACACACATAGGCACATACACAGACAGACGCATGCACACCCACGCCCACTTGAATTTCTCCAAGTTGGATTTGTGGGTGTAGTCGCAATGTGGGCGAGCGACGAAACGGTAATATCCTTGTGTTTGGTGGAAGGAAAAAGGAAGTGGATAATACATCCGTCCTTGTTGCTTCGTGTCACCCACTAAAAAGGCAACGCCACTTCTCAGTGGAGCCGACGCCGTCGCAGCAGCAGCAGCAGAGGGACAACGCCACAGAGCGAGGCAGCACTAGCATAGTGGAGCCTCAGAGAGCAAGCGAGAGAGAGAGGGAGAGACAGAGTGAGAGAGAGCGCGCGTGGGCTGACCTACCAAAAAGAGAGAGGGATAGAGAACGTAAAAGAGATGTAAAGAGAGAGGGGGGAGGGCGGTAGTAGATAATCGATAGTAGAAGTTTCTAATATAACTTAAAAGTATAAATGTTTGCCAAAAAAAAAAAACACATTTGCAAAAGCTTTCACTTAAGCGTGTGCATATGTGTTTGTGTGTGAGAGAGAGCGAGAGTGAGTGAGTGAGTGTGTGCATGTGTTAGTGAGAGCTAGGCCACACCTTGTCTCAACGCTGATTGGTGCTTGAGCGGAAAAGGGGTGGCTGCCTTTTGGTGTGGATTATAGCCTAAGTATATCCTGGCGAGCATAAAGGACAACAGCAGCGACGCTCACGTCAAACAGAGTCAGCAACACACACGCACACGCACAGCAGCAGGCCAGACAGATAGATACACAAAAGCTGCAGCAGTGGCAGTAGCAGCAACCACCCACCACCCAACCACCCCCACAATGCGACTGGCCGAGCCTGCGCCTTTCGTTCGAGGGGGTTGTTCGACTCGCTGCTGCCTGGCTGGCTGGCTGCCTGGCTTGCAGGCTGGCTGGCTGGCAGTGCCAGGATATGCCAGGATATGCGCGATTTGACGACGGAATGGAATCAATTGTTACGCTGCCGTGCCACAGATCGGACGCACAGTTTTCAGCAGTCAAACACATCTGAAAGTGATTTACGCTGCGTATACGCGATATCTATAAGCGTATATGTGTATATATGTGCATAAAGCTGAAGACAAACACCGTGATTGACACACATACATACATACATACATATATATATATAGAGATATATAAAGCAGTGTCTAAAGTGCATTTTGGGTTTAGCTTCGGCCCCGGAAGTGAAGGTGTCCGGTAACGGTAACCGGTTCCGATCGTCACTTTTCCCTTTCCCGTTCCCGTTCCCGTTCCGTTTTCCGGAGCGCGCGCGCGTTTTGACTTTTTTTTAAATAAATTAAATTGGCAATTGGACAACAAACACTTGACTAGACAGGCCAGTGTGTGCGTGCGTGTGTGTGTGCGTGTGCGTGTGAGTTTGTTTATTTGAGTGTGCGTGTGTATTTCGGCACTCATTTGTGTTAGTTGAGGAAGAAGCTAAGGAGCAGCTGCACCGCCGGCAATCGGCGTCGCTGCCATCCACAATGCTGGACATTAAATCATCCGCCGATTATTTGTCGAGATCCACAGGCAGCTTCAGCAATTTCTCAATGCTCTTCGCAGGTGAGTGGGCGATGTGTGAATCCAGCCGGCCAACGGTGATGGGCAATCCCACATGGAATCCAAGTAAATAAATAATAAATATCTAGTCATAGTTATCTAACGAGCTTAGCATTTACATAGTTGCATTTTCACATCATATTCATAGCTTTTCCATTTCCCTTACCTCTTTCTAACCGTTGGCAATTTCTCTTCTGTTGCAGATTCCTCGTACAAATCGTCGTGGGGCTCCCACAGCTCCACACAATCACAAGGTGAGCTACGATAATATAAATAAAATATCATAATTAAGTACTGAAATATCATATATAATAACTAAAACTGTAATGGGCTAACACATTATGAGTTTATTTGATAAAAATTATTTTCATTTTCATATGATAGTTTTATTTTTAAAGAAGAAAAATAATCAAATTTAAGAGTTGCAAAGCGAATCTGAAGTTGTGAGCTAGCAAAGTACATATTAAAATATTTTTAATAAAAGTTAAAGTTTTTTTAGCTTAAAAAAAGAAGTCTTAAGACTAAGTCTGAACAGTTTTCTCTGTATGTATCCAAAGGATATATAAATTTTTTATTCTTGCATTCAATGATTTCTTTATCTTATACTTATTAGATTATATTAATATTCCTAAGTGTGTAATATATCTTCAGGGTCTGTTCGAAAAGTATGTGGAATTTTGTGTTTACAAAAAAAAAATGTTAAAAATGATTTACAGTTCCATGTGCATCAAAATTAAAATTAAAATTAAAAATTTCAGCTGTTCCTTTAATGCCGTCTTTTCTTTCGATAATATTAGGAAAGCGTTGAGCGAGCCAAAATGGGAAATGTTATTGGCATAAGTAGGGAATATGACTCAGTTTGAGTAAATTGAAATAGGCTGAAAACTGAGCATAAAGTTAATATATGAGCTAATTTTTATCTGCTAAAAAATTTCCATTTAATTTATATTGTCTATCATTCCAAAGCATACGTAATACGTAATGTTATTCATCTCGATAGATTTTGAGTATGTTACATTGATAAGAGCTAGACTACGTGATGTTTTATTTATACTCGTAAAAACTTGTATTTTTATATTGATTATCCTTGTCATAAAGTATTCCTATATCCTTAATCCGTAAACTTTGCTACTTGCTAAAGTTTGCGCTCCCACGAAGCAGAGATCTGCTTAAAAACTTCGATACTTGTTGGCAGTCAAAATGGCATCAAATTCTTGGCCACAAATCAACCGAGGAGCACTTAAAAAGCCAATAAATAAATACATGGCTACACACTGATGCTGATTAGTATGCAAAGCAGCCAGCACACACACACACACACACACATGAAGGGAGCTCAGTGAACCGTGCAAAATGCTATTCAGTCTATTGAATGGAAATATGAATAAAAAGGTGGGAACAAATTGAAAAGGTGTTGCCTACACGTGTTCTTGTCTATCAGCAAGTCAGTCGGGGCAGTCAAAGGGCTGTGCGGCTGTTAAATGAAGCGTGCAAGCAAAAAGAGAGACAGATAGAGGGAGGAAGCGGGAGAGACAGAGGAGGAGGGCGTGTGTGTGTGAGCAGAGTCTGCTCATTAGTGATAGAACTTAATTAAAATTACGTGTATTATAAAACGAGACGATCTTCCAAGCCTCGAGCTAAAATCTTGGCGACAAACTGCAAAAGTGTTTAATACAAAATTTCAGCTTCGCTGCGCGTGTCCCAAGCTAACCAGCCACCCAACCACCCAACCACTGAGCCACCGCCGCTGCCTCCCACACTCAAATGCAATCGGGCATCTTTTGTGCTCTTCGCAGTTGAGTGGCTACGCAAAAGCGTAAACCCAAAAATGTCATACAGAAAAGTTGTGCTCTCTCCCGCTCTCTCTCTATCTCTCTCTCTCTCACTCACACTCTTTGCTTTGTTGTATTTTTTTTTATACATATATTCTTTTGCACAATGAGTGACAACGAAAACAACAGCGGGCGGTGCATAACCACTGAGCCATGCCCGTAGCAAGAGTCCTTTGCCCCCCGCCTGTGTCCTTTGCCTGCGGCTTTAATTTGTATGGAGCGTGAAGTTTGCCGCAACTTTCAACGCTTTTTGACACACCTCTCCCGCTCTCGCACTCTCTCTCTCTCTCTATCCATCTGCCGCTCTGGTCGAGATCTCATCGCATTTTAAATTGAATTGCCAGCGGCATTGTTTTGCCTTCTATACAATCATATTCCATTAAAATGAAAGAGCCCGACGCCTGCCGCATTGCTCATATCACAGTCGCTCTCTCTCTCCCTCTCTCTCCCTTACCCTCTCGCTCTTGCAGCTTCCCTCTCCTGTGTAGCCTTTGGCTCTGATTTGCTTTGATGACAGAACTATGATAATGTTTGTGTGCTGCGGTTGAGTTGATGCCTTTGATTGTGCGAAATGACAAGTGTTGTGGGCATCGCAATATTAACTGACAACTGGTTGACTTTACGCCTGGCTGCCTAGCCTGGGGCAGTCTAATGCGATTTACTACAGCACAGACAGACACACAGCCAGACATCATTAGCCCGACTGATCGCGTTGCTTAACAAGTAGATTTACATTTTCATCAGAGAGTCCAATGCGAATGCTAGCATTCATAGCAGTATAAATATACCAATGCTGATAATAATACTGAAACTGAACCAAATAATTATAGCAAAACTAATACTAATGAAATATTTTTTACAACCACTCAGACAAATAATGATAGCATTTCTAATACTAATAGAATATTTTTATACAAATACAGCTACTAATACATATATGTACTAATAGCAATACTAAAACCTAAAACTGATAATACATTAGTTTAGTTTAGTGATATTTGTAGGTTAGGCTCTATGTAATATAATCTAACTGTGTTGTTGAGGTACTATACATGCATTGTACAGATTCAGCGCTTAAAACAATTATAATAAGAAAAAAAAAATGCTGATAATACTAATACAAATGCAAACATCTACACATACGCTAGGAGTTTACCTCTATCTATAATTATAGCAATACTAATACTAATATAATATTTTTTACAACCACTAAGACAAATAATGATAGCATTACTAATACTAATAGAATATTTTTATACAAATACAACTACTAATACATATATGTATTAATAGCAATACTCATACTAATGCTGATAATACTAATAATAATAAAATTTTATACAAATACAACTACTATTACATGTATGTACTAACAGCAATACTAATACTAATGCTAATAACAAACATCCACACATACGCTAGGACTTTACCTCTATCTCCCAAAGAATCGCTTATAATTTTGGACGGCATATATAGATAACATCTATCTCTATTAAATGCATTCAGCTATAACTTTATTCATTACTCTATATTCAACATTTTATTTGTATGCTAATGTATGTGCCTCTCTTTCCCACTCAGAGCTCTAATATTATTCAAATTCATTTGTAATATTTGCAGGCTACAGCTCGAATGCCTTGAGCATTAAACATGATCCGCACTCACAACTACGGCAACCTGGTGAGTAAATCAAATAAATTCTGTATATGTATGTATATATGTGTGTGCGTGTGTAGTTTTTGCTTTATGCAAAACAAAGCAAAGGTTTGAGTCGCTGCGGCATTAAAGGCATATTAAGAGTAGGTGCTTGAGCTCACGTGCCGCATTGTTTAGCCCAAATTCAAATATAAACAGTGCCTGTTGGCTGTTTACCAACACTAATAAAGTTTCTCAATTGAAATTGTGCGCACGCTGCCAAAGCCACTTGAAATTCGGGCACTCGATGTTGTTGGTTTTTTTTTTATTTTCAATACTGCTCTTCCAAATGTATTGAAACACATACCTCCACTCAATGCCGTCCACTCCATCGTCCCTTTACACTTACCCCTACTCTCGGCGAGAGCGCGCGCCGTTGCTTTAAAGTGTAGTCCAAAAAAAAAAAAGACCCTCAGAAAATACTGTCGCAAATCAAAACCTTAAATACGCCACTCGAAATGGAAATGGAAACAAAAGTATTCGCAGTCGCAGCCTCAGTCGCAGTCGCAGTCGCAGCCGCAGTTGAAGCGTAATGGAAACAATTGAAATGCCATAAAGGATTCTCAATTAGAGCGCAGTCCCAGACGCACTCCAACGAGGCTGCCGAGAACTTGGCTTGCTTTTCAGCTCTTCTGGTTYTCTGGTTCTCTGTTTCTATTTCTGTTCATTTTTTTTTTTTTTATTATTATTATATTTTTTGCTCGCTGCTGTCAAATTTGACGGCCGTGCCTGAAAAGGACGCGTGCCAGCGCGACTTACTGCCGACGGTCCTGTTTATGCGCATTAAATTGTGCACTGAGAACAAAAGACGCCAGCAAACAATGCACATGAACATATACAAGTTGTGTGTGTGTGTGTGTATAAATGTATTCATGTATATGCGCTTATGATGCGAATTATGTGGGATTATGCTGTAGCTGCATCGAAAATGTTCGCTAACCTTTGGCTCTCTTGGCTTCTAAACCAGCGCTTGAAAGTATGCAACGTTTTTTCTCTCTCGCTTTGCTCTCAGCCAGGAAACGCGCGCCGGATAATAAGTGAAATGGATATGCCAGGCATACATATATATATATATATACATTGTATATCTGTGTATATGTAAGCACACACACACACAAACACACACACATACACCTTTATGCAGTTTTGGTAATGCATTTCATTTCATCAGCGGAAACGCAACTTGCCCACGTACACAATTCTTTTTCCTTCTGTATTTTTATGCATAATGTATTCCGTTTTGGCAGGTCCTTCATTAGAGGTCCTTCATTTGCATAAAACACACACACACACACACATTTAAGCGTAAAGTAAAAAACTAATGTCTTGCCACCCTCTTTTGCAGATCCATATCAAATGTTCGGACCCACCAGCAGCCGACTCGCCAGCTCAGGTGAGTTTGAGAAATCACAAAAGCATAAAGATACAGGTGCTTAGATTAAGTTGAATAACGTATAAAACGTTAAAGGAACTCCCCAATCTCTCTCTCTCTCTCTCTCTCTCTCTCTCACCCTCTGTTTCTCTGGCTGCCTCTGTCTCGCTGTCTGCATTATCATATCAATTTCTGGCCGAGATTCGGCGCACCCTAACAAATTAACCCGTTGCATGCCACGCCATGCAAAGCAAAAAGTCGAAAAGCGCTCAACCCTGCGGGCTTTTACTTGCCTTTCTAATTTATGCGAAAGGTGTTATAAACTTGTGCATTTTTTACTGTTTCATTTTCGGAATACATTTATTATTCGCATGCGTGTGTCTAAGCGCTGCAGTGGGCGTGGCCAGGCAATTATTTTTCGTTATTTGACTTGAATTGCATTTGTCTGCAGCACGCGCCCAAAGGCTGACTTTACAAAAACTATATATACATACATTTATATACATGTATATATAGTCAGTCATACATATAAAGTAGTCTCTAGCTGTAAAAGGGACTTAACAAAGGGTTAAAAAGTAGGTGTGCATCTATCACTTATGATTAATGGCTTAAATGAAACTCATACAAAAAATCAGTTAAAATCGAGGAATGATGCATCAGGGAGAGGAATTCTCGAAAGTTATGAATAGATGATATATATCTTAAAATATTCTACATTAGATATACATACATAAATAACAGATTTTATCATATAATATATAAGTTAACATTAATGTATAGTAAGTACATGAGGATATTGGAATAGAATATATTTATCTGCATAAAGTGTGGATAGAGTATCATAAGCTATGATTATAGTATTAGATAGATGTTAGGGTCTAATGAACGCAAAGCCTTTCGCCTCTATCATACAGATTTGAAATATGGGCTATAGATTCATTCTCAGCCTTAGCGTTTATAGTTATCAGATTTATCTATTAGAATCGTAGAAAATTTGGAAGTACTATAGCAGAAAACATCTAAATATTAAACTAGACACGAATAAAGTATATCCCCCGGAATATATATAGTATAGAATATATGGTATAGGAGAATATATAGTATAGGAGAATATGTAGTAGGGAAAATGGAGTAAAATGGAATACTGTTTCAGTAAATAAATATTTGACTTTGCCTTTTTTTTTTTTTAAATTATTTTATAAATTATTCCTATAGTATTTAATAATTTATTCCTAAGACTAAGTAAGCGAAAGTAAGGAATCCTCCATATATCTTTAAATTTAATGAACATCTATTTAATTTTTGAAATAAACTTAAGTAAATCTAAAATCAATTTTGATAATTTAATAAAATTCTTTAATTTATAAATGTCAGTTAAACCATTGCTTAAGCTACAACTTGCTTGGCTCCAAAGCTATCGTAACTTTCGCTTTAGTACAGTTTTGTAAAGTTTTACTATGCTATTACACAGTTTTATGTATTACTCAGAAGTTTTTAAAGTTTAATTGAATTTTTGCCCAGCTGCAGCTGAAAGTTTGAAACAAAATCAATAATTTTTATTGATCCTGCGGCTGTGTGAGCTTTGCCGCCATTGCTGACCGCTACGCTGTGTGTGTGTCTGTGCGGGTGTGTGTCTGTGTGCTGGTGTGTGGCTTGGCACCCCTCTAAATAATCGCCCCCAATATGCCCACACGCCGCCTTACCACGCCCCCGCCCTCGCCCCCGCCCCAACCAGGCGGCGCACAAACATGGCGTTTGAACGGAATTAGCATAAAAACTCAGACGCCCAACATTTTCCGGCGCGACATTTACACGCGCCGAACGCCATTGCTCCCCATTTATAGCTGCCTCTCTTTTGCACTTGGCATATCTTCCTCTCTCTCTCTCTCTAGCTCGGTCTCCAGCTGTCTCTTTCTCGCGCAGTCTGCGTGCTGCATTTGTTGTTTAGGCTTAGACCGTTGCCAAGTTGACTTCAACTTCAAGTTAATCGCAAAAGCTCACTGAGAAAAACACATACACATGACCCCAACACACACATAGATACACACACACACATGTGTGTGCGCTTTCGCTTTTTGGGTGGCAAAAATGCTGTTTTTGATTAATTATGGCTTCCTTTGGACACGGAACCGCTTTGTTAGCCAAGTCCGGTCTCAACTGCCGAGCTCGCGCTGCGCTCCTCCTGCCTCGCGTCTCATTTGCATGGCAGACACAGCTGCAGCCTGTGCATGCAACCAAAACATACTAAACAAAAAAAAAAAAACAACACTAAACCCTAAAACTAGCTCTAGTCGTGACATAATTGCCAGCCACAGCACAAAAACTTGTTTGTAATTAAAAAAAAAAAGGCAAAGAGAAAAAAAAACTGTTGGGAGCCTGCAGCCTCTGTCGGCATATCAAAGCAACATTTCCACTGCTCCTGCAGCTAATTACTTTGCCTTTCCGACATCGTCGTCTTCTTCTTCTTCTTTTTCTATTCGTTAAGCACATATATAAAATTAACATTTCTTAGAGGCGGCGGCGTCAACGCCTTTGTGACCAAATTGCCCTCAAATTGGCCAGCAGAGGCCAAATTAGGGCGTGTCCGACTTGAAGATACCTGCTAGCCTGTACAGTGATAAAGGATAAGCTTGAAGATAAATATGCCAAGGAAATTGAATTAGATTTTATGGAAGTGCAGGCGAGGTGATGCAAAACGTATTTCGATTCAATTTCATCTAAGCAAATAAAAAAGTTGCCCAACAATCAACTGAATGGTAGAAAAGAGAATCAAATTGTTAAGCTTAGTCTTAAATCATAGGAGAATATCAATCTAAAGAATGTAGTCTTTGATAATAGGCATGAATATCTTACTGCTTTACCTATTTATTTATATTTTATGCATGCAAATATGAGCTATACATATAATGAAATATGTAAATTAGTCACTTTAAAAATATTTGGCATTTGAAATATTTTTGATACAAAGTTAAACAAAGACAAAGCTAATTTTTCATATATAAAATATACTTATCCGACCTTACATTTTTTTGGCCGTCATTAGGTGTGCCCACTGTAATGCCTTGGCCCATTGTCTTTGACTTTTAATAGCATGTCAATTGCTGGGCACGCCTACATAGCTGGCTGAGCTATCACTCATGTCATCAAGAACATCATTATCATCATCATCATCATCATTGTCGTGCTGGCACTTAACACATTCTCTTGACCATGATTTGCAATTAACGCAATATTCATGACGTTTCTCACACATGAACAAACTGAATTCAGAATTCAGAGCTCAGAGCTCAGAGCTCAGAGCTCAGAGCTCGTGTCTCAGCCACCACCCGAAGGACGACATTCAACTCAACTTTAGCTTCCCAGGGCTGTCAGGGGTTTCAACCCCCAGCAAGCAGGCTTTGTGTATGTGTGAGTCCTTTTTTTACGCAAGAAAGATAGAGTGAGTCAAAGAGGGAAAGAAACAGAGAGACAGAGAGAGAGAGAGAGCGAGAGTTTGTTCTGGGGCTGGGCCTAATTGCCAAATGATTAAGCGATTTATGATGTCTGCGTTGAATGCGTGTCGAATCCTTTGCACAATACGAAAATCATAATTTCGTAAATGTTTTAGCACGCACAACAAAAGAAAAATCAAAGTGTGCTCATAAATATATAAAATGAGAGGGAGAGAGAGAGAGAGAGAGAAGGAGATTATGTAACGACCGCGACGACATTTGGTTTCTGATTTGAGCTGCTAAAATATCAAAGGTCAACTGAAGATGTGCTGAGGCTATGGCTGAGTAGCTTAAACAAAAATCATACATATATAATATTTCATGACAATATTTAGCTGTCCTTGGTATATTTTTATGATAGCTCCCAGTTGAATATGAGGTCATGAGCTAGTGCTTGATTGTGTGAAATATTCCTCTTAGCTATATGAAACATTAAGGAGTTTAGATATGCCACCTGGTATAATTCAACTTGCAGGTAAAATTAACCTTAATTTATTAGCCTACTTTACCGAAACATTGACTTACATTAAACTTACAAGAAATATCTCCATTTCACTACCATAATTATGCGCTCTAGAATTTATTGTTATCTGATACTAGATATCATATAGTAATTGATATACAGAAGCCTCTTTCGCTCATATACATATTCAATTGAATGCCAAATATCATTTAGTACATATTTTATCTGTCTTTCACTTGCACTTACATGCCATACCATTTCCTTCGGCCCTTCTTGACTTGATCGTAAATCCCAAAATAAACAAGTAAGAAAACTCTAGTCGAGAGTGCTCGACTAKRTASTWCCCTGARCCCAACAAATAAAAATGCTCATTTAGTATGGCTGAAATTTCAATTTCGATGTATTTAAAAATATAAATAAAATACCAAACTCATTTAATAAAATATAAAAATATTTTGAAACAATTAAAAAAAAATTANACGGACAGACGGACAGACGGACAGACGGACGGACGGACAGACGGACAGACGGACAGACGGACAGACAGACAGACGGACAGGGCTAAATCGACTCAGCTCGTCGCCCTGATCAAGAATATATATACTTTGTGGGGTCTGCCACGCCTCCTTCTGCCTGTTACATACATTTCAACAAAACCATTATACCCTGATTTCCCATTTTCAATGGGTTCAGGGTATAAAAATTTTGTTGCTCTGTGGCATTACATAAATTGGGAGCTGCAGAGTGCAGATGCCCCTCGGCGAGCTGGTCAAGTGGTTGTCGGGAGTTGAGCAGCGTGTCGGAAATACTTTATGGCACTTTTGCATGCCACAAAATGCTTAGCTTTCGGGTCAGTCAATGTTACATAATTCCATGGCAGCCAGCCTGCCAGCCTGCCAGCGGGGCCAGCGGGGCCAAAGGATATGCTCTTTTGACGGACATTTAGGCAGCCAAAATACTGGCATTAAATAGCTTTATATTTCTATTACATATAGCGTGTATATATTCCATATGTATATGTAATATTTTCTGTTGCAGGCTCGGGACAGATACAATTATGGCAGTTCCTGCTCGAGCTGCTGTCGGACAGCAACAATGCCAGCTGCATCACCTGGGAGGGCACCAACGGCGAGTTCAAGCTAACCGATCCCGACGAAGTGGCCCGCCGCTGGGGCGAGCGCAAATCGAAGCCCAACATGAACTACGACAAGCTGAGTCGCGCCTTGAGGTAAGTCTCACACAATTGCTCCATAGAACAGGGGTTGCTTTTTTTCTCTTTGTATCTATTTATATTGTTTTGTGCGCTCAAGTGCTGCTAATTAGTCCAAGAGTACTCTGCCCAGCAAAATGTGGGCATGTGTCCAATTTGTGAGCAAAATCTGAGTCTCATCATTGTCGATTGATTCGATTCGAGGCTGATTAGCTGCTTTGATAGCAATTGGCCCACTAAATGCGCAGAAAATAGCAAAAAAAAAAGTAAAGGAGGCGGCTTATGAAGCAGATAGAGCTGACAAGAAGTGGAGGGCGTAGCTGACTGCCTGATGCTCGCTTGTGCAGCACAATTGATAACAATGAGCGATGCTGTAAAGTAGCTTAAAAACTAGCTATAGAATTCGTAAGTGATATGTTTATAAGATAAGCTTAGATACGACTGTTGGACAAGAACAGGCAACAGTCAGAAATGTAAATCAAATATAAAACTGTGAAAAAGTGTAGATGAAATGATGGAAAATTGAAATTTGTAGTCATTAATTTATCAGTATATATAATATATATAAATATAATCTTAAAAGTCTATATAAATTATGCGATATATGACGATGAATATAGAGAAAGATAGCTAAACAGATTTTTCAAAGATTATTTGTTATGCAATCTACTGTTTGACGACTTTATAGAGCTCTTGTAGTATGCCTTAACTAGTTAGGTCCTGAGAGTCAATAGATATATCTAATATTTTATGCTCCCTCTAATCTAATCTGTTGCGAATCCCCCTCCTACTCGAGCTCTCATGTTTTTACGCTAAATAAATAAAGCCAATATACTTTTTAGCGAACTTCACGAGCGAGTATTCAACATAAGCCAACGTTTACCTACACAGCCAACATGTGGGCGTGTCCCGTTCGACAAATTCAATATGAACTTGTGTTTGTGCGTCGAAATGTAATCAAGAAATAAAATAGAAATAAAATCGAAAAAAAATCTACTCATAAAAATATGAAATCTGGCAATCTAATTGCTGGGAATGTGATTGCTTGACCCAACCCTGGTCGAGCCACAGCCACGCCCCGGTCAAAGGCGCCGGCCAACTGTTCGGTTTCATTCCGTGCTATTTGCTCAACGCATTGCCAGCAACATATGCACAACTATTTAAATATTTGCGCAACGGTCAATTTGCTAAGCACACAGGACTTAAATCGAGGAATTTTATACAGTTTATTTTTTTTTAGTATATGTTGGCAACCCTTTTTGGCTCCTTGAAAACTGTCAGTTGCAATCAGTTGGCCAATGAGTGCCAATGAAGGAGAAGCTGACAATTCAAGTGGAAGAATCCTGACAGCCAATTTGCAACAGACACACTCACACCCACACACACACACACGGGCACAATCAACATGTAAATAAATGTAAAAAGTGTTGGATAAGCGACAACAAAGCAAAGGAAAGCCTTTTTTTTTTTTTTTTTGCTCTTGTTTTGTTTGATGATGTGCGGAAGCGTCGACACGTTCAATGAAGGCCTGCCTCTTGCCTCTTGTGTCTCCATCTCTCTCTCTCTCTCTCTCTTTCTATCTATCTCTAACTCTGTTAATACTCATGTCTGTCTGCGTGTTATCCTTTTTTTATGCTCTTACCATAGGTACATCTGCTGATATGTTAGCTGATGGCAAACAGCTGGAAGATATATTATACATATATATACAGTAGAATCTCGATAAATCGAAAGGGCGAGGGGATCAGCTTTCTTTCGACTTACGCAAAAGTTCAACTTATCGAAAATTATTGAGAACGATTTTTTTTGCAAGGGGATAGAATTTGTTTTGATTTAACGCGATTTTCGATTTAGCGGGGTACGAATTATCGAGACTCGATTGTATATAAGATTGTATTAGACTAATTTCAGAGAGATTCTATTGAAAACGAGGCTATATTCGTTCTTCTTACTTCTATGGTTACTCAATGATACTCAATAAATAATTTGATGTATACAAATATGTATTTATATACATGCCTCTGCTAGTGCATTCACTATTCGTTCTTCTTTGTGCTCTTTCTTATTTCTCTATGTTTTATTTTTTATTTTATTTTTTTTCACACATTTCAGCTCAATTGAACTCAGTTGCCGTCTCGGCTTTCATGTGGGCTAAGAAATGTGAGCATCGCAAAGTATGCAATACATATATGTCGTCATATGTGTGCGTGTGTGTGTGTGAATGAAAGTTGAGCAGCTGAGCCTGTGGATGGCAGCCGCACATAAAGACAACAAGGACAAGTGCTTTAATGCTTCATTTGGCATGTTTATTTACAGCCAGCTGCCCTTTTGTTAGCCACTTGGCCCGTGCCACACCCATCAACCCACACACAGAGATAGAGATATGTGTAAATGGCTTTTACTTTAATCCTTTTTGCTCTGCTGTTTGTCTCGCTGATTGTGTGCTTTGTTCCGCCCGCGTCCATCAGCAGCCATTGATTGGTTCTGATTGTTTGTTCGCTGTTAAAGATAAAGAGATAAAGAGAGATACATATATAGAGAGAGCGAGAGAGAGAGCGAGAGCGAAAGAATGGGAGACAGAGTCAGCTTCATTGTCTTTTGTGCAGCTTTAATTTATGCCCTTAATTGGCATAATTTATGGCCAATTGCGCAGCGAGCGAAAAAATGACAATGAGCATTGAAATCGAAATTAATTTGAATGGTGTTTTTTATGTTTGTCGCTGCAAAAGTTCAATTCGACACGCTGAACAACGTAATAAAATGACGCGAACAGCGAAAGCAGAACGATTCAATTAATATTTCTTCTTAAAGCAATTATGCTAATTTCAATTGAATTAACAATAAAAGAGTAATATAAAACATTTGTTAAAGACTCTGTTTTTTTTTTTTCCCCCATTAGAGCTGTTCATGTATTGGTGTGACAATTGTCTTTAAAGTAAATGTAAATTAAAATGATTATATGTATATAAAAAAAATATAATTTTTATGAGTCATTTATATAGAATATATCATAGCAATTGTATAAGTGATATTGTGAGGAAATGTAAAAAAAAAGTGAATGCCAGAGAGGGATGTAAAAAAAAAAAATTGTTAGATATTAAAGGAGACAGACGAAGATAATTTACAAAATAAAAAAAATAAAAACAAACAAAAAAGAAACTTAAAAATAAAATTTAAAAAAAGTTACTCAAAATCAATCTCTACTTTTAAATAATATATAATAAAATAAAANCCTCGTTGCGATTCTGGCGAAACCAGGTCGTGCTGTAAAGTTTCTCCCAGTTATGTTTTATACACACACACATACATATAAATACCTATATATATGTACGTTTATTTATATTGTGAGCCATACCACAAGCTGTGGCTACTCTGCAGGTGACTGTTAATCCTTGATGAATCCTTTCTTGGCATAGCTGCTGCAATTGACGCTTATTAGCTGTTTGCTAATCACATCTTTGGCCATCTGCTTGGAGGTCGCCGAACTTTGTTTTATTTTATTAACGGGACTTCTAATTAGAGGGGCAGGCAAGCACAAATCACGGTTTGGAACCCTTTTTACTTGTGATAACGACCTTGAACTGTCTGTCGCCAAAGTGTCGCGCCTTGCTGAGAGCAACAACATTAACTACAGCAACAACAACAACAACAATAGTAGAAACCGTTCTATTAAACTTTTCTGCTTATGTCAGTTTCACTTTTGTGTGCTTTCCCGCAGTTTCTGAGACTGTCTCGATTCATTTGGAATTCAACATCGAGTGCAGCTAAGGCGAATTGTCCTCAAAATGCAGCAGCTCGAGTTGTAGCTAACAATTTGTAGCCTTCAAAATCGATAGCTGTTGTTGTTGTTGAGTGTTCTTGTTGCTGCCCGATAATCATTTGTCAAATTTCATTTTATTTGCCATGCAACTTGAGTATTTGCCCAAATTTATAAGGGAATTAATAATGTTTTTAGCCGCGAGACTCGGAATATTTGTACTTACTTTCATTTCAATAATACACAATTTTAATCTATATAAAGTCCGATTTATAGCTCAAACATGGGCGCATGAGTATATATTTAATAGTAGCATACGTATTGCAATATTATATATTTCAAGCCGAAATAGCATAATTAGGCAATACTAAGAAATATCCCGCGAAGTGACCTAAATTAGTAAACGTAATTCGTAGTAATAAAGGCATTTAGCCACTTCTTTAGTTAAGGTATCCTTATACATGCGCTATAGAGTTTAAGACAAAAGCTGCAATAAAAAAATAAAAAAATTAAAATAAAAAAAAAAAACTACGAAATATGAAATTTTTTTCACTATGATGCATCGTTATGAATATTATAATAGTTGTTACTATTTACTTACACAGTTCTCTTGGTATAACAGTAATATGTATACAATCTGCAGGAATTCCAAACATGTAAAATAATATATCTCTGCATTTATTATATATCTATATAATTTGCAAATAAATATTTATTTTTGCTATTTAACTATTCTAATCTATTTAACATATTCAAAACTGAAGAAGACTGCCTAACGTATTTTTATCGAGCTTTCGCAGGGAGTAGTGGAATATTTTTTTGTATCTATTCCAACACACATCCCAACAGCTTTCATAGCTTTTTAGTTATTCCAGCTTTTAAGAGTTTGTGTTCGAAGTTTAACTAAAGCCCAGCTACGACTCTGACTGAAAATAAGCTCAGCAAAAAAGCTCAACTCAATATGAAACTCGTTTCAGCTTTAGGGATGCATAGTAAATGAGCTTAATTGAAAGCACTTTCTTGGTTGTTGTTTCTGCTTTCAATTTCTCGCGTAATGACAACCCTGCTTGGAGTTAGTTGTAAAATATAATTTGGCGTAAAAATAGTATAATATATATATAGAACTATCTGTAGACGAGGTCAGCAAAGATCCAATTGAAATTCTCGATTATTTCAGCTCAAAGTCTGTGTAATGAAAAATACACATTATATGCAATGATACAATTATATTCAATGATAGCTAAGCCAATACAATATTTTTCATACACTTCGAGCAGGTTTAGGCCCATTTAGTGATTCGTATTACAGAGTGGTGAGTGACTATTGAAAATTATGTTAAATTTCTACTGATGGAAAGCAAATCTCTCTGGCTCTGCCAATTAATAAATACAAGTTGAGAGATTGCTTGAGTAAATTAATCGTGAAGCTTGCAGAGGTGGGTATTGGGTTGGGGTTGGGTCTAGCACACGATTAACCTCGATTTTAACACGCACACTTTGACTGCATGTGCAATAAATAAAATTGCATTCAGTTAGCTACACATGCGGCCCCATGAAAATGCAGTGAATGAAAAGTGCAACTCAAAATATAAACAAAAGCCAATTGCACTTGCGCGACGGAAGGGAGCAAGTCGGAAGAGGAAGAGGTGGCGACGGATATGATTGCGGAAGTGAAAGCAGGTCACATATCGCCGACTCTCGGCTGACAAGGACATTCAGTACACACACACGCACACATATATATATTTATATACACACATGCTCTTGCCCACGCGTCGCCTGCTGCCGAGTTAATCAGCTTCAATTGAGTTCATTTATTTGAATTTAATTGCTTTCCGTGTAATCGCAAAGTCCGGCCAAAGATCCTTTCAGTAATCAAGTTCCTTCACTCGTTAATATCGGAATATATATACAAATTACCTTAAAATAAAAAAAAAAATAAATAAAAAAAAAACAAACATACAAAGAAACAAACATTTTTCATGTGAAATGCAATTTTATTAATTCAATTTTTTTATTTTCATTTTAATTAGGCGAACAAATTTGGGTGAACTTCGTAGATCGTCAAAGCCCTGTAAAAGCATCTATGCAGATTGATATACTGTTCCGTGCTTGCCACTGTTACGACGTAAAGGATTGAGCCACAAACACCCGAGACGTATCTGAAAATAATTTTGAAAAATAAATTTCAATTAACCAGCCAATAATATTTTTTTCTGATTTGAAAATGTAAACAGTCAATCATGTAAAAGAAACTAATAAAATTATTTACAAATTAAATTCCTGTATTCTTTAATTTCATAAATTTAAGAAAAAAAAAAAAAGATTCGCCAATTTGAATGACGTAAAAAATCCGAGTGAAGCAACAGGGAAACAGAAATATTTAGCAGGTGACAATGTCCATTAAAGATCTAGCACAGTAATGTTAAATAACATAGCCGAGTAATGTCAACTCTTCTTCTTCTACACTGTTCATGTAAGCAATTGCCGTGTATCAGCTGCATATTCGGTTGGGGTATTAGGCGAACAGAAATGCACAGCAGAAAGAGAAATGTTATTTAACATAGAGAAGTTAGAAGTTGAGTTAAAGAACGGTATCTGTTATACTGCAGATAAACAAAATTGAGCGATGTTAATAATCTCCAGAAGTGCACTCGGAAGAAATGCAGAAAATAAAAAATAATTAAATAAATAATATAATCATTTCACTTTCGTAAATGAGTATAAGAATCAGCACAGATTACAGCATACTGTTACCATACTGTTTTTAGCAGAGTAATAACATTACTTTGTTAAGTAGAGCATAATTTGTCTCATTCAAATTCAATTTGTTCTCTCTTTGCCTCTCTCTCTCACTCTCTCTCTCTCAAAATGTGTAAATTAAATTCAACTGCCACTGTAGAGAATGTGATTTACCTGATTTGCTTCCAAATGTACCATTATTGTGTAACTATACGTTGAGCCTTAGCACTCCCAGCCCATAATATTTATTTATTTGAGATCAGTCAGATATTTGTTTAGTTTTCGCAGTTGGCTGTAAACTTAATCACTTTTCTGGCACGGTCAGCTAAGACAAACAACATTTCGGTCTGTTATCGTCTGTCTTGTTTGCCCCCGAAGACAACGCCCGCGCCTCGCAGCACCACACCAGTCCCACTCCCTGCCCGCCGCTTGGCTTTCTGCCCAAGCAATTTGGCTTGGCCCCGAGCCACGGCATTTCACTGTTTGAGTTTGTGCGCCAGGCGTTCGCCATTTAATTGCAGGGCCAGAGATTGAGGGCAGCTCGACCTGTGGTTGGGCTCGCCTGTCTGTTGAGGGTGGCAGCTGCAGGGTGGGGCTGGGGCTGGAGCTGGGCGAGGGCGAGGGCGTCACTGGCAAAAGTCTCTAGCACCCAAATCGCCTTAATGTCAGCAAATTAACTTAAAACGCATAAAGCGAGCATTATTTTGTAATTATTTATACGTGGCCAGTGCCAGTACTTTGTTTGGCTTTCCCACAGGGCAGCAGGGCAGCAGGGCGCAGGGCAGCATTAAAGAGCTCAAGGCATGAATGAGAAGTGAACCCAAGTTCCATTCAGATTTTTGCTATTTCACTGCATCGATTTGCTGGCTAATTGTGATTTGATGATCCCCTTCTGTTGCAGATACTACTATGACAAGAATATCATGACCAAGGTGCACGGCAAGCGCTACGCGTACAAGTTCGACTTCCAGGGCCTGGCGGCTGCCACACAGCCGGCGGCCAGCGATCCCACCTATAAGTATCAGAGCGATCTGTTCATGACTCCATATCATCACAGCGCCAAGCTGAGCTCGTTTATGAGTCCGCATCACGGCATGACCTCGTCCTCAGGTGCGTGAGCAGATGCCAAAGGGATTGAGTGTTTTATTAACTAGTTTCTGTTTGCCTCTCTATCGCTGCAGCTTCCATCTTTCCCACGGCCGCTTCGTGGGGCAATTGGGGCAGTCCTGCTACCAATTTGTATCAGCCGCACTCGATGGGCCATGTGACCCCGTCGCATGTGGCGCCGCACCTGAGCTCCTATCCGCACTATGCATGACCATCATAATATGAGAACAATGCCGGCGCTAGCAGCGGCAGCGCAGTTAGCGTTGGCGTCGGTGTCGCCGGCGGCGCGGGCATTATGAGCGGCTTTGGCAGCACGGCAACAAATACCACCAGCAACACCACCAGCAACAATACCAGCAGCAGCAACAACAACAGCAATAGCAACAACAACAACAACAATGGCAACAGCAACAACAACGGCAGCAGCAGCAGCAGCAACAACTTGAACACAGGCCACTCGCATCTCTCGAGCAATGCGGCCGGCAGCTCTGTGCTGGAGGCTCAGAATCCGGCGCACAGCAGTCCGGGCTTCGGCCTGGGCGTGCACGGCATGAGCATGGGCGTGGGCGTGGGCGTTGGTGTGGGCGTCGGCGTGGGCGTAGGCGGTGGCAATTCGACGCTCAACTCGCTGGTCGTCGGCAATCGGCTGATGAACAGCAGCCTGCCCACGCTGCTCAAATGATGCCACCTGGAAAAGTTCGGGCTGAGCCTGGGCGCCGGCCCGCCACCGCCAGCGGCCACGCCCGCCGGCGACTCAGCACTGGACGGCAGCAGCGGCGGCCTGGCCTACGCCGGCAACTATGCCGAGCGTTCGCTCTACGACTACGTGGACGTCAAAGGCGAGCAGGCAACGTTTTTATTGTAAGTGTAACCAAAACCACCAAAATACCAAATGAAAATCAAAGAAAAACAAACACAAATAGCGAAGAAAAACCATACTCTAGTGAAAGCAGCAGATTTTACTCTTAGGCATTAGCGAAAGAACCATTTGAAGTAGATAGGCTGATCAGGCATGCCACCAGAGATTGCATCACTGTGGGCTTGATGCACTCTCTGCAACCCGGCTGGCACTCATGGCATGCATCAGCATCGATGGTGCTAACCATTCCCAGCAGCAGCTACAAAGTCCAGTTCATTATCATCTCTCAGCAGCTGAGCTTTGCATCTGATATTCCCCTGTGAGCTTTGCTTCCATGAAGATCCGTTTGCTTTAGTAGGTATAAAAGCAGCTGAAGCTGGACTACTTACTTGTAGATCTTGTTTCTTGTTCTTGTTTCACAATACAATGCTCTAGGCAAGACCATGCCCTTCCATGGTCATCTGCCACACCAGGGATTCGCTTTCCGCGCCACTCGCCCTTGCAGCACATGTTGTTCTTGGTAAAAATCGAGCAGTGTTTTTTTATTTTAAATTGTAAAAACCTATGTATGTAAATTACTATCTCCTGCTTCTTCTATTACGTTTCACGCACAAAAGTGACTTAAAGCAATTGCCACTGCAGCACTCGGAACTCTTTACGCAGCTTCGTCCAATTCTCAAGCAGCGTAGTGTGGGCATTCTGCTGTAAATCCCCAAAATGCACAGCAATATCGTAAGCGACCACAGAAGAAGTTTCATTTTACTTGATATGCAACTGAATTGCTTCTGATGAGATTTGTATAGAGCTCTACGTATTAGCTATGGTAACAACTGCAATTGCAGTTTTAGAGAAGCTTGACGAACGTCTTTGCAACACCAAATCAAGCGAGGGAAAAGCGTAAAGCGTGTCAAGCAGTTCGAAGAATATTGCCAGGCAAGATCTCTATACCTTATGATCAGAAATAATCGATAATTGTAAATTCATCGACCTGTTTGAAAAAAGAAACTCAAAGTTCATTGGGATTGTAGAATAAAGAAACCGACTTTCAATGAATGAACAAATCAATTGATTTCTTTCGCATTTTCCATTTCTAGACTATTGATGCTAATCAAGAAAATTTACATAGTATATAATATTCTTGCTATTTGAAGGGCTACATAATATCAGAGAGAATATCAGCTTGACTGAGACATGTTACTATGGTAGATAGAAATCTGTTGTCTATTATGTAAATGCCAACTGTAGTGCAAATCTTTCAGCTCTTTTAGCTTGAGGTATCAATCAGTCAATCATTGTTATTCTCATCACTGATTAAAGTAATCGCTGCGAATTTTAAGAGTTTTTCAAGATTCTATGTGCAAGAGGCTATGTGGATAATGGTCATTATATGGAATATATATATTCTTGATCAGCTAAAATCTGAGCTCAGTGTGACGCATGTGTCTGTAAATATCATTCAGCTACGATAGAGTCTAATATTTTGTGTCTTGATCAAATACATAATTATATACATGTATGTATGTGATGGGTGTATGTAAGAGTGCGTGTGTGCGTGTATGTATTTACTATTTTTAGTTAGACGTTGTTTTTCCATAGGTTTAACTCTTAACTACAAAATATACATATGAGAATCAAACAAAAATAGTTTTCCAATACGAAAACAATTTCGCAAATCTTCAGAATTGTTCTAGTATAAATAATCGATTATAAGCTAGCATACCTACAAATATGAATGTATATAAATACATATATACACATATACATACACACATATACCTATACAAATATATAGATATATGTGTATATGGAATATTTTGAATTGTTGTTAGCATTTGCCACTTGTTAATAGTAAGCGATAAGCAAGTCTTAATGGATCATTCATTCAATGTCTTTCTGCTCGAGCGACTAACGCCTCAAAATATTAATTGTAAGCCCAATCGATAACATGTTATCGATCATTTTTCGCTTAATAGAGAATCTGTTTGTTAACAGCGAACTGTAAATATACAAATATATAGCAGCTAGATCTAAGAACGCATAGAATATTTTTAAGTTGTGCCATACCCTGTACCCGTTGTATGGTACAGGGTATTAGCTATGCGAGCACTCGTCTAGCTACCATTTAAATTTTGTTTTTCAATATAGTTTATTGTTTTTTTGTCTTGTCTTTTAATATCTACAATATTTGGAATATTCTCTATCAGTTCTATATGGTTGACTGTGATAGTTGATTGTACAGTTATAATCTCTTGAATAATTTCTAACCTAAATACATAATCCAATAAAAAAAACAAAAATAACAAAGAAAAAACAATATATATAGTCTTAAAACTAACATCCAAAATTTCTGTGTGTATAAAAAATATTTAGAATTTTTAAGCGCAAGTTTAACAATATTAATATATATATGTACCCTCGCATTGGGTATCGATACTTATAAATGTACTTATGTAATTTTTAAATGTGTGTGTAATTGAGATACGCAACTTTATGCTACATCTAAATGTATACAATTTTTAAATTCTGAATGTAACTTTACAAATTATATTATATAGCTAAGTATAAAAAACAACCACCACGCCCACATTGTGTACCCCAACTCCTAGTCCCAACTGTTCCCTGTAAGCGTTAAGTTGATTTAAGTGGAATACCTTTAACAAAATAATAATAATAATAAAAAAAAAAAA